TGGGTTTTACTAACTGCTTGAATTCAACAAAATGATTACCAGAAAGTCAATTTGAAATACTTGTAATATGCCCTTATTTTGCTCTGCTATTCACAAAGGAGAAGACTAGAAGTTCGATATATTTAAATACAGCTATTTGTTCTGAGTTTTTCACAGGAAAATTTGTAGACCTTTTTTTGTAATGAAGATATTTAATACCATTTCTTGTTAAGGCTTTTAGCAAATACAAACAACTTTAGGTGTTTATATGTTGTAAGTCTCAGGATATCAAAAATAAGTTGTCTGAATGGCCCCTCCCTTAGTAAGGACTAATAGTGTTTGCAGGCAAGTGTAGCAGCAAAAGGTGCCTCCGTTGCCTTTCTCCCCAGAACAGGTCCATGGCTCCCACGTGCCTTTTATTTACCCCTGAATGTGCTGTGAATTTCAGAATTGTTTGATAAGTCAAAACTGTTTTCTCTTATGCCATCTATGAGTCGTCTCTGTGTCTCTGGTTTCGAGAACATAAGTTTCGAAACTATTCCCTTGTGATAGACCGATTGCCTTTGGTGTTGCAGTGTTCATTTGCTTTGCTCAGATTCCCAATCCATTTCTCTCTTCTTTTTAGTTTTTTGGGCTAAGGGTGTGCCATGCTTTCTTGTCTTCTCCAAGGAGCCTCTCTTAGATTCATCGCTTCTTTGTACTGCTGTTTTGTTTGTTTCTAGCTCATTGATTTTTGCCCTAGTTTTTATTATGTCTCCCCATCTACTGGGTATGGATTTGGTTCTTGTTTTTCCACACCCTTGCTTTGTGCCATTAAGCCATGCATCTGTGTTCTTTCTGATCCTTTGGTGTAGGAGCTTAGAGCTACGTGTTTTCCTCTTAAGACTGCATTTGATAGGACCCATAAGTCCCGTCATGTTGTGCTTTCACTTCTCACTTATTACCAGGGATCCTTTTTCTTTCCTTCTTGATTCTTACTTGACCCATTCATTGCACAGTTGCTGTGGAATAGTCCTTCTGTACACTGTGTGAATAGATGTTGCTGTGATTGGTTTAATAAACAAGCTGACTGGCCAGTGGCTGAACAGGATGCAGTTAGGTGGGAAAACCACACTGAGAGTGATGGGATGAGAAAGGGCAGAGTCAGAGGAGACGCCAGCCAGCCACTGAGGAAGCAGGATGCGTAGACAATGAGGTAACAAGCCATGAGCCACATGGCAGAGCATAGGTAAGAAATATGGGTTAATCTGAAGTTTAAGACTTGGATAGTGACAAGCCTGAGCTGTCAGTCAAGCATTTAGAATTTATATGGAGTCTCCGAGTCAGTTATTTGGGAAAAGGCTGCCAGTTATTTGGGAGCAGGAGGTTAGGGCAGGAAAACTCTGTGTATTTTTTAATCTCCGTGAATTTGGTAATTTCTAGAGACTCTTTTGTTGTTGAATTTGAGCCTTACTGTTGTAAGGTACAGTAGGAGACACAGAATTACCTCAGTTTCACTGTATCTGTTGAGGCTTGTTTTGTGCTGTAGAGTGTGGTCTATTTTAGTTCCAGAGCTGCTGTATGAAAATATTCTTTGATGTTTGGGTGTTAACAGTCAGTCTACTTATATCTGTTAGATTGATTTAATATGTGGTCTTATTTAATTCTGATGCTTCACTGATTATTTTTTGTCAGATTAACTGTCTATTATGGCAAGTTATCTGTGTCTTCAAGTCAATAGCTTTTTATGAAATGGGATGAGTCAGAGTTTGATGCATATACGATTAGGATTAGGATTGTAATGACTCCTTATTTAATTGTTCCCTTGGTCAAAATACATATTTTTTAATCTCTTCTGATTAATTTTGTTTGGTCTATTTTTGTCAGCTATTAGAATAGGGATACCTGTTTGTCCTTGTTCCATTTCCTTGAAATGCATTTTTTCCTATTCTTTCACTCTAAGGTGGTGCCTATCCTCGAGTTTATGAATTTCTTGTAGACAATAAATAGTTAGATTTTTCTTAATCCATCCAACTGTTATCGCATGGCTGGGGAGTCGAAGCCACTAATATTTGAAGTTCTTATTGAAAGGTATGCATTGAATGTTGTCCTTTTATTGCATTGTTTAACTGTTTCTGCTAATCTCATTTTGTGTTTCAGTAGTTGTAGTCTTTCTTTCTACAACTCTTGGCTTTGCTTATTCCTCTCCAGTCTGAAGCATCGCTTACACTAGACTCTGTTGGGCTGGTTTTGTGAAAATGAATTCCTTTAACCTGTTTACAGCACAACAGGGAAAGTTTTCTTTTTCCTTCAAATACAATAGTTTCAATCAATAAAATTGTCTGGTTGGCAGCTGTGGTAGTTTAGAACTTGAAGCATAATGCTACAGGCTCATCTGGCTTTTAGACTTCCCATTGAAGAGTCAGCTGTTATTCTCATGGGTTTTCCTTTCATGTGACTCCTGACTTCTCTTCAGCAACTTTCAGTATCTTTTCTTTATGTGTTTAGTGTTTTACTATAATACTACATTAAGAGACTCTCTTCTGTATGTGCTGTCTACTTAGTGTTTTATGTGCTTCCTGCATCTCTATGGCTTTCTTTCATTATTTTAGGGAAGCTTATTTTATGCTGTTGAAACTCTGGTCTATCCCATGCACCTGGCACTCTTTTCGTATTACTTTACCTATGATGAAAAAGTTTTGCCTTTGCCTGGTGTCCTGAATATTCTTTTCTCTGCATTTTAAAAAATTTATCATTTTGGTATTAATTGGTTCAATCTCTCTACTTTATCATGAAGTTCTGATTTTTGTTTGTTTGTTTGTTTTTTTTTTTGAGACAGGGTTTCTCTGTATTGTTCTGGAGGCTGTCCTGAAACTCACTCTGTAGACCAGGCTGGCCTCGAACTCGCAGAGATCCACCTACCTCTGCCTGCCAAGTGCTGGGATTAAAGGCATGTGCCACAAACGCCTGGCCCAAGTTCTGATATTTTGTGTTCTACTTGATTCATTCTACAGTTTAGACTTACCCTTAAGCTTCTGATTGGATCTTTGAATTTTTCAATTTTGTTTTCATTCAGCTTGGGTTTTCTTCAGTATTTCTACCTTTTTGTTGGATTCCACTTTCAAATCCTATATTGTCTTTGTAATTTCATTCAGCAATTTGTTTGTATTTTCTTGAACTTCAATTAAAGTTTATTTCTGTCCTCTTTATGTTTATCCATGTGTTTGCTTGTGTCTTCTCCTGGAATTCTTTAATGGTGTTTGTGATTGTTCTTTTAAATTTTGTATTCTAAAGTTCATCTTGGTCATACCTGTTGGAGAATAATTCTGCATAACCATTAGTCTTTAAGGGGTGTTTTATTTATCTTTCCTATTGTTTGTGTTCTTGTAGGGGACTGGGACATATGGATTTATTTTATTGGTTGCAGGTCTGATATGAGATTCTGACCTGCTTGTTTTGGCTGGAGATTTGGTTCTATTTGTGGTGTTGCCAGAACTTGGTTGTTTTCAGTTCAGGTAGGAGGAGTTACTAGGTCAGTCCTTCAGCTACTTGGTATTGATTATTTATTGGAGATCCTGGGGGTGATTCCAATTAACTGGCAATTAGTGTGATACATGAGTCTTAAGGTTACTCTAAGAATGTGTGTTTGAAATCCAACAAAGTCCCTTAGAGCAGATCCTAGCTCAGGGAAAGGGGCCAGGGCTTCCTGGAAAAATGTGACTTCTGGCTGGAGCTGGCTTACAAGGCAGCACTCGGGTTTAAAGGACAGCTGGACCCTGGCCAGAATCAACAAACTATCATTTGGGTATGGATTCTGTGTGGGCCTGGCCAAGAGACCTTACAGAAAAAGATTCTATCCCAATGCCTTGAGAGAAAGAATAGAGGGGGCAGCAGTGATATGAAATAAGGGTCCTGGGTTAGACTCAGCAAGAGTACTCACAGATTCAGTTCCTGAGTGAGCTTAGGCATTGGGGGAGGGGAAGAAAATGAGTCACACCAACAGAACCCACAGATGGGTTCCCACTGGGCCTCAAGTGGTGGCATGGAGTGAGATATTTCTTTTAGGCATTATTGCACTATTCTTAGAATCGGATTGTTTCAACTAGAACAAGGGTATTGCTAGCAGAACCAAAAAGAGAAAGCAAAGATCTCTTTATTAAGAAAACATTTGATAAGCCAGGGAAGGTGAATAAGGAAGTTATAAATCATAGTGGATATCAATGATAAAAAGCATAGGTGAAGGTTCCAAGATAATGCCAATAATTGAACACTTCTTTTTGTGTGTGTAAGTGTTTTGTATGAATGCATGTGTATCACATGAATGCCTGGTGCCTATTAAGGCCAGACGAGGGACACTGCACATCTGGAATTGGAGTAACAGATGGTTGTGAGCCATCATGTGGATATTGGCAGCCAAATTCTGGTCCTCTGCAATCTTAATGCTGCACCATCTCTCCAGCCCCATTAAACACTTCAGACTAAGCTACAGTACAAGGGGAGACTTGAACTATCTCTTTTCATTTTGCTGAAAAAGAAGCACATGAAAAGAAATATCTGGCATATTTTTGTGCTCTGTATGTATATCACTTATCTTTATACTTTAAATCTTTTCCTAAGTGTTCTTTTGAATTAGATTAATTATCGGTTCTAAGCTGTGTTTTCCTCATATTCTATATCATTTGACTAAATATATCTTTCAACTGACAAATAATTAAAAATTATATTTGATTACAACAAAACTTATTGATTGCCTCCTATAGTCCACAACAACTTTGTAATCAAAGTACAGTAATAGATAGATGAATGAAGATTGTGTGAATGAAAGGATTAATAAATGAAGTTTATTCATATCCCTCATCATATCAAATTATTATTTCTACTTTCAATATAGTGTTTGTACATCATTCATATTTAGGCAATGCAACAGTTGAGTGTTATTCTTTTTGCAAATCTTTTTAAATGTAAGTCAGAAACTAAAATCAGTTCAAGTTGTTCTTAATCACTATATTCAGTGTAACCTGATCTGTTTATTTACCTTCTAGGTGAAATTGACCTTCAGATTCTCTCCAAGGTCCAGGCTCAATACCCAGGCATCTGTATCAACAATGAAGTTGTTGAGCCAAGTGCTGAGCAAATTGTCAAGTACAAAGGTATGTGCTAAATTCTGTCTCCAGAGACTTATCTTCTCATTTTGTTTGTTCGTTTGTGAGTTTCTTTTGTGTGTCTCAAGTGTAATAGCACACTGACTACTATGTATTTGGTGAGTTTATTTGGAGAAAAACTTAACTAATTCTTGGCAGGCAAGAATGAACACCTGAAACTACTGATTCCTTTATTGATATCATGCATTAATCTGTTTTATATTAAACTTCTATTCATAAAATTCTGCAGTTGATTTAATCTTTATACTAAGATCATATAATCTATATTTAACCATATTCTCAAATTTATGTCCTGATTTTTTTCCTTTCTCCTCCAATTTTGTCAAGTACTAGGAAAAAAACCAGTCTAGACAAACCTTCTGATTTCCTGAGATACATAATAAAGAAAAACATGTGCCTTTTTATGTCCTTGTGTAGGGTTGTCTAGTAGAACAGAACTGGTAGAATTAACCTATACTCTTAAAATGGGATGCAGCAGAGTATCTTACAGGCTGTGGTCTGGGTATTTCAACAATGGCTTCCTCTGGATACAAAGGCCAAGAATCTAGTAGTTGTTCAGCCCACAAGGCTGAATGACTCAGTCTTCAGTCTGTGTTCAAATCTCAAAGAAATATGTTATAATACTTATAAACTTACAAAAGTAAAGAATTCCTCCACAGCAGGGTAGATGAACTTGCCAGTAGGAGTGAAGGCAAGCAGGCCAAAAGCAAAACACTTCATTTTTCACATCCATTTATGTGGGCTGTCACCAGAATGTATGGCCCAGACTTAGAGCTTGTCTTCTGACCTCACATGTTTCAGAGTTAGGGACAGTCTTCAAAACCCTCCACAGGTGTGCCCAGCTTCTTGTGTGTTAGTTGGTTCCAGAAGCAGTGAAGTTGACAACCAACATTAGTCATCTCAGTCCAATAACATGTACTGCATTAGAATTCTAAATGAAAATGGGTTCCATATATAATTAAATCAAAATTGATTATAGGCCACCTTTTCTGGGTATTTTAGAGCGTGTAGCCAAGACATCAAACATGGAGAAGGTAAAATTTGCTTGGCACGAGGAGACGTCATCTGAATATCAAAAGCGAATGCTGCAAGAAGAACCTCAAAAGTGGGACTTTATTCATATGATTCAGGTGAGAAGTGGTGTTAGAATGTGCTGCCAAAAAGATGTTTCTCACAGATTTGTATGAAGAACGCATATCGTTTTAATGTTTTAAAATGAAATCTTTTGGTTTCTAGTTTTATACCAAAACTAGTGAATATTTTCTGCCTTAAGGAAAGGTTTTGATAAATACAAAGACTCCCTTTGACATTTAAAAGGACACTTGTTTAGAACTGCAGAGGGATGATATATTCTAGCAAGTTTTCAATGGCTCTGTTGGCTTAGATGACCAGTATATATATGTAAATGTTCCATACTTTTTCTGAATCCTCTTGGTTTTTCCAATAGTAGCCACCTTCGATAGTGTGTATGTAATAGAAGGGACATGTTTTATAATAGTCGATCAGCATGATATTATTTACATTAGCCATTCATTTAGGAGGACTTTATTTCCATGATTCAGCAGCAATGGACTAACAAACAATGATCATTGAGAACATGGCATGAGGTGTCAATTCTAGGCATCCCTGAGATTTCTGGATAGTAAAGAGTATTTTGCTGTTAGAAGTTGGCTAGTGTTAGGCAGTGGTTTTATGTTGTGTAGAGCGCTTCATTAATGGCAAAACTCATTCTTCTTGAGTCCATAATCACAGTGACTTCAGAGGAGTACAATGATGAGAAGCCAAAGAAAAAGTTGACTCTAAACATATTTAAACATATTTCGTTAGAAAACAAACATTTTTTCTGTCAGGGAACATCCAGCATGTACAGAAATCATATGCTGTTTCTCTGTAGATGTGTTTTCCGTCCTCATGAAACTGTTTGCTAGTCTCCCTCTCCTAAATCCTTCTGCAACCTGCCCCTGATGAGTCATTCCTAACTGACCACTTTACTTCATATTCTTGAAGGGAAAACTCCACTGAAAATTAATCTTTTACCCTCTGTCTTAGTGTTCTATTGCTTTGAAAAGATGCCGTGACCACTGCAACTCTTATAAAGAGAAGCATTCAATTATATGAGCCTGTGGGGACCATTTCTATTCAAACCAACACAGTCTACTCCCTGGCCATCATAGACTTGTAGCTGTATCATACTGCAAAATGTATTCTGATGTGGGAAGTCCTGTGATTATGTCAATAAAGCACTGTTGGCCAATAGGAATCTAGATAGGTGGGACTAGGAGTCCAGGAGGACTCTGGGAAGGAGAAACACAGAGAGTCAAGATGTAATGCCATGAGGTAGGAAGCCTGGAACTATTCTCCGGTAAGAGAAATACTTAGAATAACAATTATGGGGTAATTACTTAAGTCAGAGCTAACCAGTAAGAAACAAGCAAGGCCAACAGCTTCATAATTAATATAGCCTCCTGTGTGTTTATTTGGGACTGATGAGACTCTAGAACTAGGCTGGCGGGAAAGCTTCTCTCAAGGAAAAAGGTTTCCCTGTACAGTATTCATTTCAACTTTAATAATCCCCATAGTTTATAGTGGTCTCAACACTATTTAAACATTCAAAGTTAAAAAATTCTCTTCTGAGACTCAAGGAAATCTCTTAACTGTAACACCCTGTGAAATCAAAATATAAAAGCAGATTACATGCTTCCATCATTCAATGGCATATAATATACATTATGATTCCAAAAGGAGGACAGGGGGCATAGTGAGGAGATAATGGACCAAAGCAAGACAAAAAAAAACTAGCAGGGAAAACTCCAAACACTGCCTCCCCATGTCTGATGTCAAAATACTCTTCAGATCTTCAACTGCTTTCAGCTTTGTTGACTACAAAATACATCCCTCTCTTGGACTGGTTCCATACCCTTTTAGCAACTCTCCTCAGCAGGAGTCACATAACTCTGGCACCTCTAGCATCTTGGGGTCTTCAGGCAATCTAGGCTTCACCTTCACAGATTCATACAATGGCCTTTTTGAACCTCCATGCAGAGACAGCCCTGACATATGCCTAGCCTCAAGGGCTTTCCTTAGTCATGAACAGAGATTCTATAACCCCTTTCTTGTATCCTTGACTCTAAAGCCAGAGTCACATGGCCAAAGCTGCCAAGCTCTGCTACTGGCTAAGGCTGGAACATGGTTCCCTCCTTAATTTTTCTTTAATCAGATTTCTGTTTTCATGGTTTCCGTTACTGCCTAAGCTTTTCTCTAATTCCTTTTCAAAAGTTGGAAGCTTAGCTGGGTTAGTTAGATCATGCCCCGAGGTCACCACTCCCTTATTTATTAGAATCAGGCTTTTCTTTAAACTTTTTGATCTCCTTGAGCACTGGCCGTATCTTCATTATACTTCGTGGTACTCTTTTTCTCCTCAAACTAAATATTTTCTATTTTTCCTTGTTCAGCTTGCTCCTTTTCATTATATATCCGCCTAATAGTGACAATTAGTAACCAAGCAACACAACCAATACCAGGTTGTCTCGAAATCTCCTCTGCCAATGCTGTTAATCCAAAACTCTTCAATTTAGACTCGGACAGATTTTTTTTTGACATGTGTAGAAAACAGCCGCATTCTTCACCAACTATCACAAGAACATCCTCTTGTCCATTCATTAATATTTTTCTCCTCTGATGCCTCTTGATCCAACTGTTCAGAGTCTACATTGTTCTCAGTGCCACTGTCCTCCATGCTTCTACTAGTTTGGTCCATTAAGCCATGATAAAGCATTTAACTGCTTTCCTAATCCAAAGTCCCCAAGTCCACATTCTTTCAACAAGCAGCATGGTCAGGCCTTTCACAATACCCCACTCTCTGGTACCAACTTCTGTCTTCGAGTTCTATTGCTGTAAAGAGACACCATGACCATCACAACTTCTATAAAGGGAAGCATTTAACTGAGGCTGGCTTACAATTTCAGAGATTTAGTCCATTATCATCATGATGGGAGGCATGGTGGAATACAAGCAGACATGGTAGTGGAGAAATAGCTTCACAGTTATACATCTGGATCCTCAGGCAGCAGAAACAGAAAAGCACTAGGCCTGACATGGGCTTTTGAAACTTCAAATGCTCCAATGACAAACAGGACCACATCTACTGGAACAAATAGTGCTACTCCCTAAGCATTCAAACATATCAGTCTATGGGAGCCATTCTTATCCAAACCACCACACCCTCTGCATTTGCAACCCCAACACCTGTGTTCCCTTTACCTGTGTTTCCTTATTGTTGCCTCTCAAAACCCATTTCCTCCACTTCTGCTTTGTAGGCTGCTTTTCTCTCTAGTATGCAGTGCAGTAGCCTTAGAGATTTATATAGTTTTCTTAGAACTTCCACATTTTTCTTTCTTTCTTAGAGCAAAAGTCTATTCTCTTTCACTTCTTATATACCCTGCACTGGTTTATGTCTCTTCATTTCTGTTTATAGTCCAAACATTCTTGTGACATGTTTTCAGTTTGGCATTTTCTGTCAACATAAAAATCCCCAGTGTGTTTTAGATAAAAGATCAGGGCATCTTTTGTGACCAAGAGTCTCTTTTTATCCTGGTCATGACATAGATTATTTGTCATCATATGTATTTGCTGTATTTGGGTGTTTGTGGTAAACTATATGGAGAAACTTGATGGTAATCATGGCTCCTGAAGTTATATGGGCCATATGCAGGGTCATTTTATTTCATTCATCCATGTGGGAAAATTCATAAATAAATTATTTGACCTTTCTGCAGTGGATTCTATTATGGTCATATTATATTGAAAATTGAATTCTTGTCCAAGAGAGATAAGTGTGAGATATAAAAAGTATCTGTTGGGTAGATTCTGTAGTGCCTAAAGGATATACATCATTAAGCTTTAGTTTGAGTAGAAAAGCCTGCATTTGACTAGGAATTGGTCTAGAACTATTAAAATCAGGTTGACTAATCCTTATGCCCTGTGACAAAAAAAAAGAAACCCAAAAAACATAAACTTATATTTTCTACTGTCGTAGAGAATTCGAGCATGCCGTAGCCTGTCCCTTTGTGTATATGTGTGATTTTAAAAAAGGAAAATGTGTATGTGAGGCTATGGAGAATCTTGTCAAAAGGCTGGATTTTAAAGTAATATTCTAGGAAATGGGGTTTGCTTTTTCTCTTCTAAGTGCTAAAACTCACAAAATGACAATAGGCATAGTATTATCTTCCACTTGTAGAACAAAGTTTAAGCATCTGTAGTTACAGATGTATATGGTCTGTGTTACAGAATGAGGAAAGTAACTTTAAAGGTATTTTGCCCTAGGACTGAGGATGAAGCTCATTGCTAAAGTGCATACCTAGAGTATTCAAGGTCCTAGGTTCCATCCCCAGGACTGGCAGGAAAAATAAAAAAAGGCAACAAAAGCTGGTTACCTATAGGAGGGCAGATGGCATATTTGCCCTTCCCCAAATGTCTTATGGTTATAACTCTCTAGCATCTTTAACCTTTAATCATTTACATTTTTTTCATGGTATATATTCACTCAATGTGAAAAATCAAAACTTCCACTGAGTATCTAGTCCAAGCATGAAAACTATGTAGTCCAAAACAACATAGAGAAGCATCTCATTTCTTTTTTCCCTCCCACCTAGATGCTGTATTATGTAAAGGATATCCCAGCTACCCTGAGATTCTTCCATGGTCTCTTAGCTGCCAATGCTAAGATTCTCATTATTCTTGTGTCGGGTAAGCTATTTCAACCAGCTGGGTTTTAAAATAGTATTGTGAATATACACATGCATTCATGTGTTTAGATAAAGTTAGTACATCTTGTTATTGTTTTGAAATTCATTTTAAATTATTTTTTAAAGTAGAACAATGCTCAATTTAGAGAACCTAGTGGAACCAAAATCTCTCTGCTTCTCTCTATTCAGAAAATATGTCCTTACAAAGGTTAGATAATGACTCAGTGTTTAAGAGCACATTGTTTTTGTAGAGGACTGCAATTGGTTCCTAGAACCTACTTTGGGCACCTTAATAATGCATGTGCACATGCATGCACATGGGCTCACACACACACACACACACACACACACACACACACACACTGTAATAGAACCTTACAAAAAAGAAAAATTCTTTGCCTTGTTACTTTGCCCTGGTTACTTTTCTGCTGCTGTGATAAAACACTGACCTAAACCAACTTGGGGAGAAAAAGGGGTTATTTGGCTCACAGTAGACAGTTCATCATTGAGGGAAGTCAAAGCAAGAACTCAAAGCTGGAACCTGGAGGTAGGAACTGAAGCAGAGATGATGGTGGAGTACTGCTTACTGCCTAATTCCAGGCCCCTCTGCCTGCTGATGGCACGGTCCAAACTGGGCCCTCCCACATTAATTCACAATTTAACAAAATGTGCCCTTCAGACATGTCCACAGCCTCATCTGATAGAAGAAATTCCTCAGTTGGGAATCCCTTTTCCAAGGTGTCTCCATTTGTGTCAGATTGTTAAAAACCAAGCAGCACCACATCTGTTTTATAGAACAGAAAGTTAAAGAGATAGTATTTTTAACATGAGAACAAACAAGTACATTTATTAAGTTTGCCTATTATATGTCACATAACTATTTTTCCTCCATCCTTGAGATTTACTAATAAGTAAATAAAATCTTAGACTTTTTGGATGCCATTAATTTGCATTTCTAAAACCATTAGAAACTTAGTTCATTATAGCTTCTTTTTTTACATATACCTATAAAATGATTCATTTGTTTCACTATTTTTCAGAGAGGATATTTAATTAGTTTGTTGCTTCCAGGGTCATGTCACATAGGTTAAAAGTTAGAAAATCAAACATTGATATTAAGATCATTCGTAAGATTTTACTATGTAGTATAGGTTGGATTAAAAAATACCAGAGTATTATGGGTACCTGCCACTATGCCCTGTCTCTGTAGCAGTTCTTCCATGGGTGTCTTGGGTTGTCTAGCTGTTGTTAGATGATTCATTTCTAAAAATGCCCCGGTCCTTATCATCATCACCAGACAACAGCTCCACTCACTGAAACTGTGTGCCACAACATTTGTCTTCACATACAAGGAATACTTTTTAAAATGGCAACTGCAGTTGTTGCTTATACTTTCAGGCTTTACTTGGTGTGAAGGTTTAGAGCCAGGAACTCTTACATACAACTGACTCCCCAAGCGAACATTCTGATATACTATTTTTACCTCTAGTTAGTTAAAATTACTCACTTATTTGGGAAAGACCTGATTTTCCATTTTGAAGGGATTATATAAATTGAATGCTTTCTGCTCACCTATGTTTAAATTAGGGACTTGGTAAAAAGTAGTTTGTATTACAAAAGTAAACTTATTTTCCAATGTTGTGGGGACTTACTTTTGTGATCTGCATCAATAAAATACAATGTTCTGAACAGAAATCTATCCTGAATTGACAAACTTAATATTAGTAACAGTTCTACTAGTAGATCTGACATTTTGAACAGTTAAATATTTGAATGTTAGGTATTCTTATTTACCAATAAGAAAAAAACAATTATGTTATAAGTATACTTTATGTGCATTTTAAAATTAACAAAGCTCCTTTATAGAGACTGTAGTCTGCTGGCTGCAGCATAGAGTTATTATAACCCAAGAAATCTGAAGATAAAACAGGCCCAGGGAAGGATATGAAGACACTTGGGGTAGGAATACTAGTGTACTTCCTACATGGATGAACTTTGCTTCCAAGCCTTAGTTAACTTTAGGCTATTTGTGGACAGGCGTACCCATGTTATTTGTATGTACGCATACATGGGATTCAGATGAGCTCTGTATGTTTTTATTTGGAACCAAAAAGGCAATAAACACAAGTAACTTTTTAAAAAGAATTTTGAATCAGAAATTATTCAGTCAGTGCCCTTCAAATGGTAGAAATAGCTTTCGCTTTTTTTCCTCCAGGACAGGGTTTCTCTGTGTAGCTTTGTAGACCAGGCAAGCCTCTAACTCAAAGAGATCTGCTTGCCTCTGCCTCCCAAGTGCTTGGATTAAAGGTGTGTACCACCAGCACCTGGCTAGTTTTCAATTTTTTTTAAAACATAGTTCACAAGCTCTTTTTACAGAAGAATAAGGAGAGGTTGTAGTCTGAAAGAGATAAGCATTTTTTATCAATATAGTTCCTAGGAATGACAATGAACATCTAAGACTGTTCAGTTCATCATACTGGAACTCATATGAGATCTTTCTATTATCATAGTCACTACTTCTTGGAAGATATTTTTTTACCACAGAGAAGAAATATCAGATTAATTTCTTTTTAAAGGAACCACTGAGTAAAATAAGAAAAAATATTTCAGATATTTCCTTGTATTTTTCAGAAATATTAAATAGATTAAATAGAAAATATATTTTTTTAAAGTCACCTTTTCTAATAGTTTGCTTTGCAGTTCAAGAAGATATTCATCCTGAGGAAAGAATTAATACTGCCAAATATGTTGGTCATTTTTCATCAGTTTAGTTCGTTAACTAGCCTGTTCCTAGTTTCCCCAGCCATACTCTCACATGAAACAATTAAAAACACAGAGCAAATGGCTATGGTTTTTATCCCAAGCATCTTGAGTTATCCCTCCCCATCTCTGCCCTGGAACTCTCCTGCTGCTTCACATCAGAGTCTCTTATGAACTCAGGACAGTGAAGATGGGTGCCTTTGCCTCAGTCTATTACTATACCCTTGTGAAACCTTGAGTACACAGAAAATGCTCAATGAGTCTTTGGATTCAACGAAATAGCTGTTTATTTGAATTTTGTGATACCAGAACTACAAGGTTCTGAAAGTCCACCCAAAAGAGTATAATGTGATTCATCTAAGAATGACTACACGTGGAACACAGAAACTGTGTGTGTTTGCACATGTGTTTGCATGGTAATAAATGGCTCAGTGAAATATAAATATACATTCTCATGGGCATATATGCTGGATATGGGGTAGTTAGACAAAACCATGTAGGATAAACAAGAAAGAGGATGAAATCAGAATAAAATCAGGTGGTCAGTGTACTGTATGTGATCCTATGTTTTCTTCTGGGTTGCTATGCTTTTGTTATAGATCAAGTCCAACTCAGTAAATATTCACTTAGTGGTAGCTAACAGAATTCTTTGATTATTAATATGAAAAAAATGAAATGGAAAAGTGTAGGAGGAAATCTGATGCCGCCATTAAACATGTGACTTACTAAGTCTATGCCGCCATTAAACATGTGACTTACTAGAGGCGCATACAGATGAGGTAATAAAAGGGCGGTTTACCACACTGCTAACCACACCCACTTTAGGCAGGACTAAAGACGTATACGGCTGGACGTAAAGACGTATACGTACGTAGGCGGAACTACGTCACTAGCCAGGCCCACTTTTGGGCATGGCTAGGGCGTACGGGAAGGCATAAAAGACAGCGCACAGGAAGTCTCGCTCTCTTTTCCTGGAGTTCGGCTTCCGGTCCAGTCGCTAGCTGAGATCTGCTGGGCTTCTCGGGGTTTGGTATCTTGTGAGTAATTTTCTACATAAAATACTCAGCGTTACTTTCAGTCATTGTGTGTCGTGTATCGTTACAGCGTCCGTAAAGCCAACAGAAAAGAAGAGAAATAAGTACACAATACTTGAATTTTGTTTTAAATGAGAGTATTGTATACAAAAATATTTTTACTCCCCCCCCCCCCCCCGGTCATTCAGTTCCAATTTTTTTTGGCTTCCGGGGTTAGTTCATGACTGTACCAGCCTTGCATTGGCTTCAAATCCTTTGTAGTTGTTCTCTCCATCTGGAACCTTCCCTGTGCTGTCTACATGGCTGCTGTCAGATTGTGCTCAAATGTCACCATATTAAACAGACTCTGTGATCACCATAGGTAAAACAGCAGTGCTCAAATGTCTCTGGCCATCCTTATCCCTTACTCTGATTGTTTTTTAATTACACATTACATCATATGATATATATTTAGTTACTTATTTAATTTCTCCCTGCTTTTGTTGTTACTTGGATTAAGCTCTACAAAGGGTATGAATATTATTTTGTTGACTGTTCTATTCTAAATGTCTGGTATAATGACTAGGAGAAACTAAATAAAAGACAAAGTAAAGAAAACATGAACTTTGTTCTTTTGCACAGGAACTAGTGGCTGGGACAAGCTATGGAAAAAGTATGGATCCCGTCTACCCAGGGATGACCTCTGCCAGTATGTCACTTCCTCTGATCTCACTCAGATCCTGGACGACCTGGGGATTAAGTATGAGTGTTATGATCTTTTGTCCACCATGGACATAACAGACTGCTTTGTTGATGGCAATGAAAATGGAGACCTGCTTTGGGATTTTTTGACAGAGACCTGTAACTTTAACAAAACAGCACCACCGGATCTTAGAGCAGAAATTATGAAGGATCTTCAAGAGCCTGAATTTAGTGTTAAGAAAGAGGGGAAGGTACTTTTTAACAATAATCTAAGTTTTATAGTGGTTGAAGCGTAACTATAAGTCATGAATGTCCAGAATTTATATTTTGATCAATTGTTTATTACATATTGATTTACTTATCAAACACATATTTACATACTACAGTTAAAAATTAATCTTATAATAAGGATATATTCTCATTTCTTATAAATGAAATCTATAAATTTCCAAGACATTCTTGGGCTTCCACCAGAATCATGTGGGCTACTTCCAGTTATAGCTTGTCCAGTTAGAGTAAACACTACCTAACTGGAAACATATGGCTTGAGTTTCATCGACTTACTGATAATAAAATCTTTTCCATTTTTTTATTGTACTGGAAATTCTTAGAATAGAGATAAAATATATGCCATCTATATTTTGAATAACAGAAAAGTGACATTTATTGATTCTATCATCACAAAAAGTAAATGTAGTTCTACTTGTAAAGAAGTGTTTGTCTTTCTACTTTTCCTGTGATAGTTTCTATCATACTTTTTATTGGTGACATAATAAAATTAGAGGCTGGTGGGATGGTTGTTTCAGAGGACCTGGGTTCACTTTTCTGCATGCGTGTCCTATACCTCACAGCCAACTGTGATGCCCGCTTTAGAAAATCCGATGCCATAGTCTGGAGGCATCAACACTTATGTGAGCATATCCCTCCCACACACATAAGAATAAAATAAATCTTTAAAAAATGACTACAAAATTGGCTCTGTCATGTGATATTCCTACTTTATCTAAGATATAATTATCTTCTCTGTTTTTGTTATACTGAAACTTATATTTTGTACAAATTAATTTAGTTCAGTTTTTCCTTTTTAAAATTTTAGTTTCTTAAACATTTTTAAAGGTCTTCTAGGTTTAGATTGCTAATATTTTTATAATAGGTTCATAACTTCATTCCAAAGTTACCTTTAGATAGTAGGATTTCAGAGAATTTGGGAAGACTTATTTGATATTCTTGCTTTATTTTTAAAGGATCCCCTGTAATTCTTACAACAATAATATATTTTAAGTTAAGAAGTAATAATTCATTAATAATTTCTATAATAAGAAAATGATACTTCCAATCAAAATGGGGTAAAAGAAGGATCTTAATAGCTCATGGAACTATGCCTTACAGTACAGATGCCTTAATTCACAGATGGTGAATTATGTTTTAGGTTAGTCAACTGTGAAGAGTTTGTGCCCCCTTTTTAACCACAGCTCATCTCTGTGGCTTAGAATCTGTTTACATTAACAAATAATCAAGCTTTGTGTATAATCAGTAAAACATTGATGTATTTTTCTCGGATAGCTTCATCTTTTTTTTCATTATGAAATACAATAAATAAATGACAGTCAGATTCCCGAATAAGACCACTGAATGATCAGAGCAAATCGGTGATTCATGAATATTGATGGGGATAGGGCAACTTCAACAGAAAGATAGAATTCAAGACTCTAAAGCAGTTATGGCCTTTTGTAGAAGAAGAATGGACATGCTATTTAATGATAGAAATAGAAAAGCTCACTGATGGTTATTTACAAATATGGCCCTTTTCTCATCCCTATAGGCCTTTTCTATAAAATTCAGGGACAAATAAATTCTCGTCTACTTTAGTTTAATATAATGGAAATACACATTGAAATAGTATAAGAAAGGCCATAGTGCCCTGACTGTACCTCTCCCTTTGGGAGCCACATTTGCTTGTAAATAAATGGCTTTTCACTCATCTTTGTGTTTTACAACACTAAAAGGGCCCTCCTTCCCTGCTGAGAACAGGTCCTGATATATAAGAAGTTTGATTCCTCTGGAGGGCTGGCCTTTTGATGTGTTTTACAAATCAAAGGTTGTACTTGTGAAGACGCCATGGCCTCCTGCACTGGGTGTGACGTTTTTTTCACAGGCACAAACTTGCTTTTGGTCAGCTGGCTAGAGGACTCAAGGGACTCAATATACTCCTAATTTGCTTAATAAAGCGTGGTGATTTATACCTTTCATACAGGCTTCTTTGATTCCTTTTCTTTTCTTTTCTCTTTGGTCTTACTTTATGTTTGTAAGACAGATTCTCATTTTATAGACCCCTGTCTTTACCTGTGTAAGCTAGACTGGCCTCCACTTCACAGAATGCCCGTTGTATCAGCCTGCTAAATGCTGAGATTACAAGGGTAAGCCACCATGCCTGGCTTACTTCTGTCCATTTTTTTAAAACAGAAAACCATCTCTATATATGCCTAAAACTTAGTGACAGTGTTACAGATAGCCCAACAGAGATGACCACTCAGACAGAGTTGATAGCCAGTTGAAAGTCTTTATTCCAGCAGGCTGAGACCACACGCTGGCATTTGGGTGACCTAGGTGTGGCTTCAAGTGTCCTGGGTATGGGATTTTAAAAGGCAAAAAGCACATCCTAACACCTCAGTCTGCAGCTACATGGGGTTGGAGGGCTGGGTTTTACAGAAGCAAGAAGTTTAACTGCCAAATTAAGTCATTAGCTGTAGGGGTCTCTGCATAAACAGGCTTCAGACAAAGGAGCTAGGACATCCTGACCTTGGGTTCCTGTAGTAGAGTTGGGAAGTTTTCTATAGGATTCTCCATCAAGGAGATCAGATTCTAGTTAAATCTGAAAGGGCCTCAGCAAGAATATGAGATGGAGAAACCTTCGCATTGTCTTGCCCAGTTACAGTAGTTTCAGGGGATGCAACTATTGATATCCTATATTACCTGATACTAGAAAGGGTATGGGGTAGTCACATATTGACCTTTTAAGTTTGCTTTTATGATTAAGATTAAAAAACAACACAACATAAAATTGGAGTGCTATGTTGTGTGTCATGATTCACTGTGTAAGCATGGTGCCTTGCCTATGGTAGATGATAGACAGGATGGCTGATGAATCCTTTTCTTTTGAACCATCTGCCTTATGCTTTGTGTGTCTAGTTTACTGTTGTAAATATGGCTGAACAAATTAAACAGGTGCTAGAGCAATCACAAGGCATATGTGAGGCCCTGAGTTTGATCCCCAGCACAAACAAACAAAAAGCAAACCAAAAGGAAATAAAAATAGAAGCATTTTAAAAAGAAATAATATCATGTACCCAAACTGAGTTGTTTCCCCTAGAATTACTATAAATTTGAAGTTACCAAGGACTCTTTCTGGCACTTGCTCTTAAGAGATTATTGTCAAGATCCAAAGAGAAAATATACAGTGGTACATAGTATTTTCAGGCCTGATATTTTCTTATAAAAATTTGTAGCCTGTGATTGGCTCTTCTACCATGAGCCAACAAAAATTAGGTGATAGCCACATTCATAGAATGAGAGGGAAAATTCACGAAGAGTTTATGTTCATAGTCTATAAAGCTATGCAGAATCTGTGAGACCCAAAGCTGAATTTTAAGTTTTAACTACTCTGCCTAAGAGATCCTTGAAATAAAAATGTCTCTAACTTGTAAGCGCCTTGCCCAAGGACCAATGCTTCCTGAAATGCTGGAAGCTATTGTTTGTGGGAGCTAACAAGCCACATGTTTTCACTCCCTTAAACAAGTTTATTTGGCTCAACTGCACCAGATGTGCTTGATCACATGTGGGCAGGATGTTTACAGGTAGGAAATACATCAGGATGTGTACACTTGTCCCTGATTGCACCTGATAAGAAATTCAGTGAACTGTGGATTTGGCCTTTTTAAGCCCCTGAAAACTGAATTGACTAGAGGCCATGTCCCTGGGAACCCAGGTATGATCTGGCCAAAGCCCATCCACCTGGTTAGTATGTAATTGAAACTTGATTCAAAATTGACTTTAAATTGTGCTAGTGGTCTTCTTCTTGACCAGTGCGATTAACCATCCAAGTGTATATTTAATGTTTTTCAAATATTTATTTAATGAGAGAGCTTATTGCACCATATTTTGTCATTTAAACAATTCCTATATATAGTTTTGTTAGTAGAGCACTTGCCTTCTGTAAGTATGGTTTGATCCCCAGTATCACAAATAAATAAAATATAATAAAGCAAAGGCAATATAAAATATAATAAAAACAAAAAGTAATAAAAGTGTATATATATTTACCTCATCAGAATGGTTTCTAAGAAAAATAAAGACTAGTTTTTTAAACGTAACATTTACATAATTTTTACTGATTCTTTGGGAATCTCACACCATGCACCCCAATCCCACTTATTTTCTAGTCCCTCTATATCTGCCCTCCACCCTTGTAGTGTCCCCTCAAAGGAAAACTTAAAAAGAAATAATAAAAATTAAAAAATACAAATAAGGATATTAATTAACAAAAACCATCCAAGCAAAAGCAAATCATAAAACAGTTCTCTCCTCCGTCCTTTTCACCTGAGCTGCTGTGTATCATGCAGTAGATGCCTTTTGTCCACACAACTTTCCCTGCAGATGTTCACTGTGTAGCAAGTTGTTGGTCAGGTTCAAATCCTCTGGTTTCTGCTGCACCATGAATCCTGGACCCTCACAGAAACTCCGCTCAGATATCCTGCTGTTTCCCGGAGTCAGGGAGATCCTGTGACTTGGTTCTGCTGGACCAGTCCCTTCACGCTCTTCAGCAGGTCATAGATGGGGTAGGAGTGCAAACTCAAAGCCAAAAAGGACCCTGTATATGTGGCTGAGTGGTGGCTGAATTGGTCAGTCCAGGCTGCTGGGATCAACCCCCTCAGGTGAGGTGTAGAGCCAGCTCTCCCATGCCCATGGTGAGAGTGGGATCAGCTTTTCCTAGTGCAGGGGCCAACTCTTTTTTGTGTTGAGGTAACTAGGGTCTATTAGCTCAGGGCTGATGAGCTGCAGGGTTATCTTTCCAGTGAGAGGTGGGCCAGCTCAGCACGGACATGGCCATCAGCAGCAACTTGGGGCTGGATAGCACCATGACCCCGGGTGACTGTGCAGGTTTCTTAGATTGGCATGGGCCCAGCAGCAGCATGGTCCTCGGACTCCAACATGGCCCCACGTGGCAGTCCAGATCTTGGCAGTCACACAGCCTTCGATGGTAACAGGAACCATGGACCTCAACACAAGACCCAGACATGGACCCCTAGCCACAGATTGAGCCTGGGATGTCACCATGGCCTTTGGGTGGCAGCACAGGCCACCCCAATCTGTATGGTCCGGACAGTAACACGGATACAAACATGTCCCTAGGGCTCAGCCGAGACCCAGGCATCTGCACAGACTTCGATGGTAATCGGAGCCAAAGACTACTACTTTTTGATGAATGAATAATGTAGTCCAGTAAGATGGAGCCATAGCAGATGACTCCTTAGGTTTAAATCCTAGCTGTGTTGATTATCAACTACATGATTTGGGATCCCTTTCATTCTTTATAATCTCATATTTAGTCGTATGGAAAATGAAGATGTTCATTGCAACTGCCTCAGATAAAACTTCAGAAAATAAAATAGGAAATATATCTTATAAAGTACCAGGCTCATAAGGATTACTCAAAAATAATAACCACAAGTATGGTTAGTTGCTTATAAAATAGAGATAAAATTAAACTAGAGATAAAATTAAAAGAAATCTAAGGAAAATCAAAGCTAAGGACCAAAGGTTGTATTTAGAGGAACCAACTTAGTTTCTAAAAATGAGTGTCTCAGTCAGGGCTTTCTCTGTGAGCTAAGTGTGTACTTCAGTAAGTTCAACCTGCCATCAGGGAAAAGCCATTAAAGTTCCATGGTCCCTGGTTTACTAAGTGTCCATGCTTT